ATTAGAGAATAGGGAAATAAGGGAGCCAAAATAGATTAGTGAGAAACTAGTAATACTCGTTAAAAAAAATTTAAATTGCGAATTTTACTATAAATTATAAAGTAATGCAGTGTGGTGATACAAAGAGCTCCAGCATGGATGTATGGAAATAGTTGCTGATCTCATGACAATCCCAAGATTGCTGAAATACCTTCGCAAAGGAAAGATTAGACAATAAGTTGCAAAAAGACTTGAAAAACAATTAAGCAAGGCCAAGACATGTTTAATTATAAGATATAAAATTAAGTGAGAAAAATAATTATCATTTTTTAAATAGATAGTCGATGGCCATTAAAATAGATAACAGTAGAGAAAATATAATGAAATATAGTCAAATTTTAAAAACAAATAGAATATTGAAATAATTTAATTTTGCAGCCAACACTTCATGTTGCTGATAATTTCATAACAAATTATGAGGTGTTTGATTTATGATTAAGATTAGTTAAAGGAATAAACAACAGAATATTTCCTAACAAATTTAAATTATCACCATCCGAATACTCATGTTTTCTAGCACACGAAAAGACAGATTAGTATACTGTGAGATAATGTAACTATGCAAATGCCCAAATCCTTGATAAAAATGAGAGCTAGCCTCTCCATTAAATTGAAATAAATAATAAGGATAATAATTAGGTAACGTAGGCAGACATAATGGGATCATAATTATATTAGGTAGCTGAATATTGAACTGTTTCAATGGCATGCCCAACACTGGCAAAATATAGTTGATTTAATTACAGAGAGATGATAAAACTTTTACAATATCCAGAATATGTCATGGATACACTATACATTGGGCTCTTTATCATTTAATGCAATGAAATAATAGAAACTGAAAAAGAAGAATACGTGTATTAGAATTTTGAGATTTCAATAATAAAAATTATGCTGTATTTGCCTGCATTAACCTGCAAGTCAAGTTTATATTTAAGCTTAGACTATTCCACTGTAATGTTTAAAGTTTTGAGGCCATTATAATTAATGAAAAGAATTAAATGTACCTGATGTGTAGACCTTGTCTCTCATCAGATTTTGATTCCAATTTGCTGAAAATTATTATTTGCGATATAACAACCATCAACCATAATTTCATCTATCTGATTGACGTTGGTCCAACCTCAAATGATTGAACTGAAAAGTTCAACTTCATTTTAATATAAATAATTCATTCTTAACAAAAATTACTAAACTGCCTCATCTAATAGCTAGTTAATCTTATCAAATCTTACTATTTTATTTAATACTTTTAATAAAAACTTAGGCTTCAGAAAGATTTTGAAGTTACATTTAGCAGGTTCACAAAGGCAAGGAAAGGCGTTCTGAAAGGCATCCTACTCCATGTTCCGACAGATGATATTGTGAAAGATTCAGCAAAATTCATATGGTACTGTGCCTTAACAAGAAGTAGTCCAGTTAAATTAGACAAAAATGAGAAATATATCCCATAAATTGAAATTTGTCATTGTTGTTGCAAATTACATTAAAAATCCTGCAGTGAGTATGTGTGTGCAGGGAGGGGGTTAAGTTTTTAGATATATCTTTAGTTATTAATTCTAACAATAATTATGTTCTATATTGGATCAAATTTCCTATAAATAAGTTCCTATAAAATTTTTTTATAGAATTGACCATTTTAAAATTCCAAGCTTGAAGAGGTCTTGTTTTTATTTACGAGGCCTTAGTTTTGTTATCTTCCTTGTAATAATGATATACTCTTTGTACCAAAGTAAATTTAATTTTTGTTCAACATTTATCAATATGTTTTTGTATATTTTACCCAAGAACAAGAGCAGTAAACAGCTCACCTTCCCCCGTAACAATCATGCCAAATTTCAAAATTGCAAGATTTTTTTTTTTCACTCGATTTGTCTAATTTCACGAAGCCACTTATTGTTGAGCCTTGTTTCTATATCAATTTTGCCAAACTTTTTGCAATATCGTTTAGCGAGACATCTAGCGGATGCCTGTCTGGACATCTTTTTTCACTTTCCTGAAACCAGGGATGGAAATTAGTAACTCATTGTTCGTAAAATTTGATTATTCGAACGATTACTTAGCTTTAATTCTATCATGGAAGATTAGGATACATTTGAATTGCCCATATGGATAATTTTAGTAGTTTTCGCACAATATTGGGAGCAATATGTGCAATTAATGTGTGTGTGTGTGTGTGTGTGTGTGTGTGTGTGTATATATATATATATATATATATATATAGCTCCCAATGTGTGTATATATATATATATATACACACACACACACACACACACACATTCCTCAAAAACGTCTTCCAATTTTTTTCTTTAAACTTTTGGTAGAGTTAGTACTAAATGCATTATATAAGATGAAAAATGCATATTGTTCTATTCCTTTGTTTCAAAAATTACAAAAATGTGTTTTTTTGACTTGTCTGTCACGTCGTTAATATTTATATTAGCGGCAATTTTATTATATTTATGAGTACATGTGCTTTACATAAAACCACATAAATTTTCTACCGTTTTCTGTAAAAAAAAAACAGCTCAAAACTCCGCATTTTCTGAAACGCTCAAACGCCATTTTTTCAAACACTAAAACGCCATTTTCTCAAAAACGCCGCCAAATTTTTTCTTCAAACATTTCAAACGGTTAGTAGTAAGTGCACTTTTTAATATGACGTTGGGAGTTTTTTTTCCAAAAATTACATGAATGTAAATTTTTTGAAAGCTCACTCACGCCGTTGGTATACACATTTATAGCATTTTGTAAACTATTGTATTTGTTAGTTAATATACGTAAAATGACTTCAAATTAAGTATTACGAAAACTCAAAAACTTTCTGTGAAAAAGTGCTTTAAATTACGAATTTACAATTGTGCTTAAACGCCAGTTTTTTACGGTTCCAAATTTTTGAAAGAAAATTGCCATTTATTACGAAGTTTTACTGTTCTTTAATAATCTTAAAATAATATTTCCGCTCTACAACTAGGAAACCGAAAAATTAAGAAAATGTCAAAAAATGTACTTTCGGCGGCGATAGATGTCAGCAGGCAAGAATAGGGGACAGCCCGAATAGCCAGCCCAGAGCAAAGAAAATAGAAATCTCATAAGAGAAACTCTGCTATACTGTAGCACCATACTCGTTTCTTTCTCGTACATATACTCGTACGTATATACGGAGTATATACGTGGTGTAGAGAAAGTTATGTAATGTTGCGGAAAATCGATTTCCAGATTTTAACAGAAACACTCGATTTGGGATTCTCTGATACCGAAAAATTGTTTTTCAAAACATCCGTCCATCTGTCTGTGTACACCACTAGCGCGTAAACCATACGTAATATTTCCCCCCAATTGATATTTCCCGGTCGAACGTGCTCGAATCAAGGCGCTGCGCTTTTGACAAACTTTTTTCAAAATTTGATGGTACTTTCCATGAAGCTCCTGGGAAATTTTCAAAATTTACTCAAAAACTGCTTAAAATTTTATCTTTATAATTCTTGTAAGAATAGAGTAAAATACGCTTATAAAGGTGCCATAGATCTGGTTTTCACGGTTAATTCTGTATTTTCGAAAAATGCAAAAATTTGAATTTTCTTCGGCATTCTTCCCTATTACTACAAAATTGAAGATTTTCTCCTTCAAAATCTTTTTTTTCTTGTTGTCAATAATTAGTTTTTTTTCATTAAACGTCATAAACTCCAATAAAGTACATGTTTTGAAAACTTTTGCAGTTTGCAAAAAAAAAAAAAAAAAAAAAAAAAAAAAAAAAAATACAGAAACAATTTTTAAAGGGGCTAGTTGCCTCTTTGCAACCTGAAACTAAACCCAAATACAAGAATCCAATTACAGCAAGGGCTCGAAATCAGGAATCCGGCCGGAGCTTGCTTCATTTATATTTCACCGTCGGCCCGTCGTCTTGTCTTTTCTTGTCGCTTAACCTTCGGCTCGCCGCCGCCCGGTAGATTGATTGAATCCTGGATTGAATGAGAAAGGTGCTCGCAACCCTGGTGACTCAATTGTGTTTTGGGCTTCGTTCATTCATTTATTGATTTAGTGACCTCTGTCTACTTTTTCTTTATACTTTCCTTATATACTGTCCTTATATTTCTTACGACTGCTACATTTTCATTTTGCTACATGCTTTTGAGAGTGATGGACCTAAGAGGCTAAAACCGCTGAGAGTCGCCAATATTCATCTCTGGCTCACTACTCTCTTTAACATAAAAATCCGCTAGTTTATTTGACTTCGCTAGTAGGTATATCAAAAGAGAAATACATAATGACACAATTCCAATGTATAACCCATTTATTTTTCGGAAGTATTAGTTTTTTTGTAACCATAATAATGGAAATTTTGGTGGAATAATGGAAATTTTCGTGATTTGATGAAAAAATAGAAAATAAAGTTGATGAAGAATTAAAAAAATAAATTTTACTAAAAGGAATTAGCTTTAAAGATGATATGCATAGGGTTGCCCTTTATTCGTATAATTTTCTTTACAGCTTTGTCTGAAATGAAAAAATAACCATAAGATAGAATGTACAATAGCATATTAAATGAAAAAGTTACACTACTTCACTACAATTTTATCTATTAATCAGCGATATTAAAACAGTTTAAACATATTAAAGCATTCTGTATAGTTATACATTAATGTTTTCAGGAATGCAATTAGAGTATCTTTATTGCGAAATGTTATTGTATACTGTGAACATAGTTTAACTCCATGTGGTCTCGTTTTTTAATGCAATATCATTTAGAAATATGGATTTTTTTTGCAGAAAACGGCAGTTTTTATTATTTCTGACTAAACACTACAAAACTCAACTGACATAAGAGAATTTTAAAAAATGTAATTTTTTAAAATTTGGTTATATGTGAATCGACATGAATGCGAACGAGGCTGTTATAAACCGTTTGAGATTATCAGTCGATGTAAAATTGTTTGTCACTAAAATGATCTGTAACTTACATCACGTGTGATGGCTAACACGCCATCATCTTCTGAAGAGAGAATTTGGACATTAGCGGTGCCATCACTAGAAACGATTACAGATTTCCCTGTACACATTCCATTGCTCTTCGAACCAGATATTAGATCGCAATAAGTCCCCTGGGGTAAACAAGTCTGCAAAAAATAGACCAGTAATCATTTAGTTACAAACATATAAAGGAGTAAATATACCGCTTTTGCAAGTGAGTTAAATCTCATAGTAGCTTTTCTTAGAAGTATATTCGAGAATTACTGTCACATTACTACTAAACTTCAAATTAATATTTCAAACGAATCTATAGTAATACTCCCACTGAAAATTAATAGAATCTCCTCCCCCCCCCTCTCTCTCTCTCTCTCGTGTTGTACTCTTTCCCCCCCCCCCATGATGACATTCCCCTGCTGGAAGGAAACGTCTGATGGGAGAGACATTCAAAGTGTGTTTGTAACAGCCGAGAGAGATTTTAACTGTTCCAGTATTAGGTGCTTTCTACACCGTTGGTAACGTGTGGAGAATTTTTTGTGAGGTGGGTGAGTGAAATTATTAATAATAATAACAATAAACGTAGTAATAATTATTAATAATTTCTTTAACGTCCAAAACGGGAAGCAGTAAAAACTGTGTGTCGAATGGGGGAGAAGTATACTACGCGCACGTTTCCTTTCTTACAGAATATCTTATTCGCTCTTTTACTATACATAGTTGAATTAGGAATAAAGTTACGAACAAAAAGGGTTGGCAACTTTCGAAAACTAGGAATTTTTGCTCTCGAGTAATAGCGTATTTGCGTCGGCAAACGATCTATAATATTGCTGGCAAATTATTTTTCCCTCTCTTCACTTCCCACAACTAGCCAAAACTTGTGCATATAGTAGCTAGATGTCATATGTACACCTACCACGCGCTCTTTACAGCTATAAAGTTTAACAACAATATTCAGAGTTCCTACCAGAAGGTAACCTGACGATGGCATATTCTAAATAGCTACGCACTGGTCGGTCTGAGGTACGTAGTATTAAGGTGACTTGGAGAAATGCGAGTAGTGTGGGGGTATTATGTAGGACATCGCCCACTAGATTTCATGATGCGATGTCAATCTTTGGAATACCAGTCATGCCTTCGGAACTTTCTCAGTAATTCGAGTTCTCTGTCAGGAGTTCGAGGTATGTATATGTATGAGTTATGTATAAGACATACAGAGGGGACACAGCATGGGCAGATATCGGTAAAAGATTACAGAAATCAGATTATAAAAGCAGAGGAGACCATCCTTGGAAAATACGATGTAGAAAGCAAAGGACTGATGTAGGCATGTTCTCCTTTGTGAATCGCACTATAGTAGGTTCGAATAAACTACTTGCAGAAGCACTAGATGCTTTTCCTTCTAATGTAGCCAAATTTAAAAATCTACTTCATTCCATCTAGATCATCTTGAATAATACTGACTGAGACATTTATCTTTATTATTATTGTTATTATTATTATTACTTTTATTATTATTGTTAATATTATTATTGCTTTTATTATTACTTTTATTATTATTATTGTCATAATTATTATCGTCATGACCCTTATACAGTGAAGTGATGTGAAGTTGTAGTTAGTTAAGTGTTATGTAAACTAGAAGTGAATTTAGAGTAACTAGAAATAAATTGGAACTACTATATCGACCCCCTAATTCTAATAGTAAACCAATGTAAATGTTGAAAAATATGTTTAGTAATTCTAATTTAATTGTTATCATGTTTGCCACCGAGCATTAGCTCAAAGCGAACTTTAATAAATCTATCTATCTTCTGTAATGAATCTGGATCTGGTTTGGCCATTTCTTTAGATTTTGCTTAAAACAATACGACCAGGAATTCTCGGTTTCAACAGTAAATAGATTTTATTACGCGCCAATAAAGATGTGTTTGAAATGTTGTCGTCGCAGCTTCTTTTTGTCTTCAACTATTTATTACTCAAGGAAGGGGGGAACAAGGTCATCGGAGATTTTTTTTAATATGTTGAGTCTGAATTGATGCAACGCGTCACTAAGCCGCGGGGGGCGTTGAGCGCTTTGCACTTGGAAATAATCCTCCATTAATCATCGCGCTATAATTAATTGTGAGTAATACACCATTAACATCTCTTATTTAATGTCACGTCTCGTCGCAGGCAGTTGTCGAGAGGACCGCCAGGTAGCATCTCCGCGTTCTACTACGCCTCCGACTACCCACCCCTGCGTCAGTACCCAGCGGCCAGAATTTGGGGAGAAATTTGGATAGAGTTAGGGTTTAGGACACTTCACAGGGGTTAGTCTAGCTTCTTTGAAGCAGGCAAACTAGTTTTGTCGTAACAAATTTCACATGAGGGTCTACGGGGATTCTATGAGAATCGAACCCAGAACCTCAGAGGTGAAAAAGGCAAGCGACTTTGCCTCTGAGTCATGAGAGCATATTTAATATTTTTTTCAGTTTTTAGGTTGCGCGGGTTATACACACCTGTAAGGTTTGATTCAAGTCCACACTTTCTTTGTTGAAAGCTATGAATCCAGCATTTCCTCTGCAGAAGGCGATCTGGTTCTTTCCGTTGTCCCACCAGTTCGTCACTTCAGTACCTTAAATTATGAAAAATGATTTGTTTTTACAAATACTTTCTGTTTTTTTAATGTTCCCAAAATAGTTAATGCCGCGAGTAATAAATTTGCAAATGGCTAGTGCTAAAACGAAACACCGAAAAACATGGAATTCACCAAACGTCACCGAACCGACAGCTAGTGGGAATCTACAGCATTTTGTTCTGTTAGTGCGGTCTACCGTCACCAGAGTTTGGATCGCCTCAGTAGAACGAACTATTTCTAGAGAGATGACCAATGATTCTCAACGTGTATTGATACATGAGTATGAAGTATATTACGTCACGAGCGAGTATTGTAAACTTCATATGAGTTTAATGCCCATTTCATCAAGGTTTATACAGTTCATTTCTAAGAATAATGATAACTGGTAGACGCTGAACTTAGTTATCATTTCTGCATATTATAGTACTTATGGCGATGTTAGTTTCATGTCTTATATACAGATGACGACAGGTACCGACGACGGTCACCATTCTGCGACTTTCCTCAGGGCGTAATGCCTGAGGAAAATCGCTGAATGGCGACTGAAACGTCGGCACCTTTGCCATGGACGCGTCGTCACCCGGACAGCCAATTAAATATTCACTCCGGCTGCGGAAGCCTACGCTTCCGTTTCGTGAAGTCACGGCGGTTAAGCAGCTCGCGACACCGAAAGTCCCTGGATGAGTGACCGTCTGGGAATTCCGGATATTAACGCCTTCGAGCTCCTGATAATGGGGATAAAAGGCGAAGACATTATGCCAAAAGGCTACACATTCAAAGAGAATTTCTTCAGGTTCAATCCCGAATAAAGGCTTGGAACGTTGTTATCACAGGAAATACCACAAATGCTTTGGAAATTGACGATAAATTACCGATTCGCAAAGCGAGGAGAGGATTTATCTGAACATTTCCACAGCACGAGTGGTATTCGATAGGATTATTCCACGAATGAAATTATGTCCAACAGAGTTCCGAAATGCGCCAAGTATTGAAAATAACTGAAAGTTATGTTAAAATCAAAGAGTACACAGGCTGTTGATTGGACAACGACATATCGATGTATTTCGCCTCCTTAGTTAGATGAGTCTCAGATTATGATTAGAGAGTAGGGAGAAGCGGTAAGAAAAATCGATAAATGTTTTCAGATACCCCCCTGATCTACGTATTTTATAAGTATACTTAAAAACTTTTGTTTTTTTAATTTCACGAATGGGAGAGTCAATATAACAGTGCCGGATCGGATGGCCGGGATTGCTAAGGCAGTAGTGCCGTAGCGATCTCGGACCAAACGATCGCGTGTTCTAGTCCCGCCTCGGGCATGGTTGAATTGTGTTCGTCCTTTCACCCCCTATCATCATCATCATCATATGGTGTCATATTTACAGTTACCACACCGTTACACCAATAGTGGTCGCTAATGACCTACAAGTTGATGCGAGAAAAAAAACGACATTCGTATTACCTTCCGTGCTCGTTTTGAAGAGCACCATGTTGGCAATCTGTCTCCAGCGGTGCTCGCACACCCAGCCGCCGCCACAGCCGCCGTCGCCGTTGATAGAGACGTCCAGGATGTTGCCGTCGCCGTCGGCCGGGGGGCCGGCGTCGGCGTTCGTGAACTCGTAGCTGGACATGACGCGCGTCACCCCGTATGGCCACGCCTGCATGAACGCCACCGCCATCTGCAAGAGAAAAAGGCGAGAATAAGATAAATATGCAAGATAAATTTTATTTGAACCTTATTTGAAATGGGCATAATCCGGTGGCAGCTAATTACATAGAAAATAACTAATTACATAGGAATCATAGAGTAGGAATTAACACTTAACTCGGGGGTGCTCGCAGTAGGTAGACTCACGCCTGTGCCTGCAATGTATCTCTCAGATATAGCTGCTTCCTTTTTGTGAATGCGAATGATCTAAAGCTCTATTTACTGAAATATTTATTTTATTTAGTTTGTACATGTCTCCCAATGTCATTGTTAATGAATACTACATTGAAGAAATCTTCTTTAAATACTTATGATGAGAAAGATAAAAATTGGCAAAGAACACGCAAAAATCATTAAACATCTTATCGTATTAAATAATATTAAATGCAATTCCCATGATTATTTTTGGCGTATTCTAAACAAAGATGTATTTTACGTTTTTTACAAAAATATTTACAAAGTCTGTTTTGCTTCCGTTTTGCAAAGTTCGCATTTTGTTTTCCATTTCCTTACAGATGTCCCTGCACATCATTTTTCTCTTTGGCATGAAATTGTGACAGTCAGTCCTAGATAAGAGAAATGATTACATTTTCTGTTGGCACTTCTCATAGACACGGCTGAAAATAATACCATGACACATACCGCTTACGCCTGGTGCTCAGAATGCATTGGCGCAATTGCAGGCAACGTATCTGACAGATATTGCGCAGCTCAGCGATCAAGTTTCAACATGCTCACGGGAAATGACTCAAAGACAGGATAAAAATAGAAGACCAGTCGTTCTCAGAAAAGTACAATGAATGAATACATGAAATGTCAAACGACTAATGCATCGCAATAATTTAGGAACAAAATTGTCGTGGCTTGAATCTCAAAGATCTATTGTGAGCACTCGCGGGTTGAAGGCCCCTTCCTGCGTCGCCACTGCCGTGTGCTTCCGAACGCTGCGGCTCGTCGTTGGTTTAAATGGAGGTCACGTGTGGCGGGATCGCGCTGTTGTGGCGTTCGGCGGCGGACCCTCGCCACCAGCAGCGCAGGAGGGCAAACGCGGCACCGCTAGCAGAACGCGGATTTAAATGATGGTCTTCCCACTGCGCCGCCGGTCGCGGCGTTTCACATGCTGCATTTTTTTGTTCGTCTTCGCAGAAGGGTCGACAAAACCTACCCCCGCCGAACCCCTACCGCGGTGCGGCGGTGGCGATGTGGGAAGTGCCCTGACGCTTATCGGACGCAGGCGGCAGTGGCGACGTCGGAAGGGGCCCTATAGTACGATTTATTTAGTCGTGGACGTGGCTTTATACTAGGATTTATTTAACCGTGCACTTGACGTAAATCAGGTGTTGCGGTTTCATCTAATCGAGAGCTTGAACGCCCCGTTAGTGACATCACTGTAGTGACTTATAAAATCCCGACAGGACGAAACCGCAACAACTGATTTACGTCAGGTGTACGACTAAATGAATCACACTATAGGGCCCCTTCCGACGACGCCACTGCCGCCCGCTTCCGATAAATTGAAAAAAACTGGCGGGGCACTTCCCACATCGCCACAGGAGTGCTCTATCGGCTCGTAGTAAAGCACTGGTTTAAATGGAGGTCCTCCCACTTGTGGCGGGATTGCGTGAACAGCTGATTTACGTAAAGTACACGGTTAAATAAATCCTAGTATAAAACCACGTCCATGCTCGCTAACCATTGCCTCGCGCACTGGTCGCCGCAAATATTTTCGACGAAGGGCGGATGTTAGCATAATGCCGCCCGTCCATGCTCGCTAGCGTCCGTGCACAGCGTGTGCGTTGCGTCGCTTAGTAGCGTGTATTCTGTGTCTGTTAAGACGTCGAAATGGCTTGTTGCAGGAGAACTAGAAAATTGGGCCCAAATACTTGTAAAATGTCTATCTTGGTTTGTGCAAGGGAGGATACTGAAATGACAATACAAATAATTATAAAAAATTAATTTCCTTCACAAGTTCCCATTTTTGCATTGGCTCCTTTACGAGATACTTTTGTTATGTTAATCATTTTTTCCATGAGCGTAATTCAAGTTTTTTAAAATAAATTAATTAAACGAAACTGCTAGCACACATTGTCGTTAGAATCGGATTTTCAACACGAAGCATTTGAAGAAAATATATGTGTTATCTGTCTTCTGGGAGAAAGGAATCGATTATCTTTGTTTTATTCCTTATTTATGCGTGTATAGACCACGTTCTGCTTTGACACGCCACGATAGCAAGATCATTAAAAATATAGAGATACGCAGCTTTGAAAACAAGACACCGAACGACCGTCTTCATTCAATAGATTTGCAATATGCCAAGGTGTCTTGACATGGTGATGATAAGGTGTGAAAGGACTAACACAAATACAACCATGCCCGAGACGTGACTCGAACGGCATTGCTGCCTTAACGATCTCGGCCATCCGGACCGGCAAAATCCAGACGTTGTTTGAAAAAGTGTTAAGTAAAGAGATTTAAAAAAATAAGAAATGTTATCTTCACCTTGTATTCCTTGGGCTTTTTGAAGGTAAGAACGTCACCAGCGGCAGATGCTCTCTGGTTGTCATGATTGTCAATAAAGGCCACTGCGCTCTCACTGTCCATCAGCAGCCATTCAGTGCCTGAAAACATAATATTAACGCAAGTATTATTAACCGAACAAATTCTCAATACTTGATACATCAAATTAAACATTATTGCCAAATAATCACGTGTGAATGATTTCTAACAATATTGTAGAGTAATTTATGCAATACCATACACATTTCTGGGGGATAATAAATATTTCAGGTTACAAATGTACGTTCTAAAAATGTATTAAGTAAGAATCGTATTTATTACGGACCTTTTCCACGTCAAATGGTGATACGAAAATATTTCTAACAAAAAAATTGCGCCTAATTTTAAATTGAAATTATGGATGGTTGTTTAGAATTGTTTTTATTCTGTCATAGTGCTGTACTTAAGGGAATTTTTGTAAAAACACTAGGAAACAGTACATGGGTTATGGATGTGATTATTTACCCTTTTACTGTACTCCAATCAGGGATTATAGAACAGAAGAGTATCGCCCCTTGTTCTTCAATGTGAGCCACCCCGATAAGTGCCTGTTTCTTGAAACCCGCGTACCAACTTGATTTAACTTGTGAGGGTGGGATTGGAATAAAACCTGTATTCTCCGCTCAGGCAGTGAGTAAAAATTTAGAAAAGAAAAAAAACGTATCGGAAAATAAATTCGCGGGCGGATGATAAATGCGAGCGTGTGGTGTCTGTGCCACTAATAAACGTGACTATGCGAATAAAAAAATAAGAATAGTGCAAACATACCAAAATTCTTCAGCCATTTCAATGCATTGCTGCCTCCGAAACAACCGCTGAGATCCATTCCGTATTTGAATTCAGTCACACGGCCGATGTCCGTGTATTCGTAACTATGCACTGGGCCAGTTCCAGCTGTAGAAAGAACGACACATTACAAATTAGAATTTGGCGTGGAATAAAGAAATTATTGTGGTTAAACATCACAATGCATTACAGTGGGAGCAGTAGAATACATATTATACTCTTCTAGGACACGAAGAGGGATCGAAGATGATCAGCTTTCGCCAATGAGTATGTGGTGAGAAATTGCATTTAATGAAGTTACACACGTGGCATTTGCCCCTGATATCTAGGCAACCCCTCATGCATTGGTGTTAGAATGGTAAACGAATACCCTGCGTCTTGCCGGACACTTGCCAACACGAATTGCCGGGTGTTCTCGCAATCTGCTGGTTATGAGCGAAGTGAAGTATTCACTTGTTCGTAAATTACCTCATACCAACCGTGAAATTTATTCGCTGTTTCGCCACGTTATTCTGTAATTAGTATTTTTTTGTTTTATTTTTTGTGCATGTTTGAGCTTTGAGGATGCTAAGGTTCACTTTTTGGCAATTGTCTGGGTGGAAGAGACTGCTATTTTCTGGATGGTGAAACTAAACTTTGTTCCAATTGTAATGCAGTGCCTACCCTGTACGACGAGACTCACTGTTCAAATCGCAAATTAATTCTTTGGAATATTTTCTTGCCAGAAAATCAACACGGGAAGTCATGGAGGGCTATGCTAAAACCTACTTTTTATAGCTCGTTTTCTTGCGCCATGCTGAGAGAAAGTCATGTATTGCTGAGCGAAAAAGCGGCGAATTTTTGGCAGAAAACCCTTAATACAGGGACGTGTTAATAAAAAAGTGAATAAATCCAGTTGCTAAATTTAGCAAAAAAATTTCTGTCAGTAGTGTAGCCAGAATACATGTTTTATCCAGAATCCATACTTGATACCGAAAAATCGAAAGACGGCAAAACGTGTCCGTCCGTCCGTCCATCTGTTAGTCTATGAACAACGCTAGCGGCTTAACCGTTCATTCGATTTTCTTTAAAATTGACATTCCCTAATCAATCTGGCTGATGTCACACACCCCTTGAATTTGAAACTGATATTTTTCTGGGGGGGGGGAGGGGGCTGATATTAAACTTGTGGTTTTTTGTTGCGCATTTTCGTCAAAATAACGTCGTACACGTGGCAGTGAACCACTTCCTTCACTTCATAGAGCTTGTCACTGGATTCCATATGAACATTAGTGAATTGTGTGCTACTTCTGAAATGGATATGTCTTATATCCTTTACTACGAACATTTCCATCCCTACGAGATTTGTAAACCTTTCGCTTGTTATATTGGTAGCGCTTAGTTGAGGGAGTGTTCTAGAATAACTGAACATCACGCTCCACTCATAACTAAAATATCGCTGGAATCTCCGAATGGCTTTACATCCTAACCGAGGTTGGAATGAGGCACCTCACCTGTATTGTATACATTTTTGTTTTTGTACATTTCTCAGAATTTACTTCTGTACCCTTTGTTTACGATAGGTAAAACACAAAAAAATAAAGTACTCGAAACATGTTTATTTTAATATGATAAGAATTGTAATTATACATTTTTGTGGAATATTACTCTTTTGTCTCCTCCACGATAGTCTCTTCCATGAAGTCTCTTCACCTTCCCAATGAAGTCTGTCAGTAATTATTGTCATGAAGTTGTTAGAAGAGTCGTTTTGTTCGTGTCGTTTTGTTCATCGATACCTTTGTGATATCATTTTTTCCAGTTTGTTTCGATTAGAATACTGTGAAATTCTACTTAAGACTAATTATTTTACAATGTTCGAGTGTCAATGGTACATGAAAATGAATTCGGGATGGGCCTCGGAGTGACCGATTAATGAACTCAAGTGTACATATATTCAAGCTACACAAATAAAAACACATTAATATAACGATATTTTATGTTTTCTGAACCTAAATTTAAGAACACTTATTTACTTACAATATTCTTCCAAAAATTTTAAGTCACAGCAGTCACTTTTAATTGTACCAAGATTTCCAAATACCTTTTTGAAGATACTTACTCTTGTCAATGACCTCCTGATAAAAGAAAGGCCTCGAACCAGCTGGAAAACCATGGTTGACATTAAGACTTGTCACGTGGCTGTAGATGTAATCGAGGTTGGCAGGCCACATGTATTGGGCAGCGTCAATTCTGTGTTGTAATGAATAATACTTTATATGCGCATTGAATATTGTTTTATACAGGTGAATCATTTCAAACTGTGAAAAACACATCAGTATGTTCTCATAAAATTAGCAATAAATCATTTCTTTACCATTTTCGCCTCAGAAGCACATATTTGCGTACAAAGCAGATTTTGTAATTTTTCAATTTCTTTGCAACCTGAAAGTCACAGGTTTCATGCACATTTACAAGACAAGCGTTATTGGAGACATGGGAGAATCATTTTGAATTGCGAGAGCAGTGTAAGACTGTCCGCTGGTTAACCGGCTGCGATCTGACGTCTTAAAATCTGGCGCGATCTTCGGAACGCGCGCGATACAGAGCTGCTTCCCAAACCCGTCAATTTACAAGTTTGCGTTTTTATTCGTTTGCATGCGAAAAAAGTAGAATTTTTCTTAAACAATACTTCAAAATATCGTCGAGTCTTTGACTCACTATAAGCACAACCTTGTGGACATTGTAGAAGAACAGAAATCTGCAAGAAACTGCTGATAAAGAACGAAGAAGTTCTCAACAAAACGCTAAAGAAAATATTTGTTTACATAACTATGGAGAATACGATTATGTGTTTTTACTCACTTAAAATTTTCTCATCCTGTATACAAAAAAATTAATTAACTTAAAGTTTAAAACTAGCATTGAAATCGTATAAGTAATAATCAATTAATGAAACTAAAAAAATTGTGCGAAGAATGAAGAAAGGCATTCATGTTTTCATTGTAGGTAAAATCAATCGTGGTATATTTACTGTGGTGTTTAAATCTCAATAATAGACGAAAAGAAACAATGAGAAAACTTCGAAAATAAACAAACGAACAGACAGAAGGTGGTTTTAAAAAATACTTTCTGACTGAGTAATTTTCAAAATGTACAATGTTGTCAATATCTCGAATATTTACTTCACGCATTGTAAGAGATCTCTCATTTTTGGTTCAAACGGAAAGTAAGAAAAGAAAAACAGGAAGAGGGAGGAAATTTGCAAAGCAGCAGTAAAGCAAGGAAAACATAAGATTATACAAGGCAAGAAAAATGTTGCCTTTATATGAAGAGTTGAATAATGTCCTAATAAAAATCTATGAAATGTTGACTGCCACTGATTTTTGCATTTAAAAACACTCATTGATATTCGCTCTTAACAAAACGTTTAATCTTCGCTTCCTTGACTACGACTACCGCACACTCCCACGCTCGTGCCAGTCGAGGAAACGAAGAATGCTTTTGTTAGATTGCAACTCGCACCGAAAAAGAAGCAGTTAACAATAATTGCATGTACACATTTATTTGAGTACTTTTAAGATATTAGTTTATTTGTTTACCGGGCTATAAGAGCTGGTGGTATAGTACAAATACCTGCTTAACACATCTGGGGCTCATTAACTTTAATGTAAAGAAAAAAAACTCACAAACTTTGAAAAGCCCAAAAATCTTTCAAAATGAAAACATATAGTTTTAAATACTCTACTAGTAGAAACCTGTCAAAATTTGACGGTAACTGATTGAGAATAAAACTACACAAATAACACTTATTGATCTTTTCTCTTAAAGAAACCATCTTCGCTTTGCTCTCTACAACGTAGCTCTCGCATCACAAGGCGACAGCTTTCCCCAACAAAGTAATGAACAAATAATAGGTAAGATTCTAATTTATTGGTTTTAAAACATTATTTTGTGTTTATATTATAAAAATGGTTAATAAGAGCAAGATGTAACAGATATAGGACCTACTACTTTTCCTTTACAGAAATACATCATGAAATTTGACTCAAAGGCATCTCAAGAGATTTTCTAAATTAAACCCTTACTGTTTTAAGTACATACATCAATTTCAATAAGAGATTACATACAGGAAATCAACCCACACACACACACACACACACACACACATATATAACTTTGAAAGCCTAAATACTTACCTAAAACCGGCAACACCATAATCCACAAGTTTATTAAGAAGTTCTATTTGTTTTGTTCGTACATAATCGGTGCTTTGTGCCAAAGCGTTGATTCCAATTAAACTGCAGTCACGATTCTGAAGAGATAGATAAATGAAATTTTCAATTTTGAAGAAAAATCGTTTGGTAAAGGAAGTCACACCTAAAATTAGTTCATTACTATTTATATTTCATAAGGGAATAAATAAAGACTACTTATTTTTAAGAACAGGTAAATAAAAGTTAATTGTGATACGAGTGATAAAAGTGACATTTTATTTTGCGAAGAGGGAAGGTTGTCAGCCAAGTGACGCACTTCTGGGAGCAAAATAAAATCACTTTTACATGTATCATAAGCTATCTTTTTAGACATTCTTTTTGTCTTTCATTTTATTTTAATTCAAGTGTAAAAATCTTTTAAACTATCAAAAACCTATGTTACATTAAGGGCAGTAGTAGCTGATGCAGCCAGACTAAAATGTTTTATTTTGTTTGTTGCATTCACATTTTTATCTGAACAAGTTCAACAAACATCTTTAGTACTAGTGCTAAAAGTTGAACTTATAGCATGCTTTGCGTGTCCTAAACGTAACCGCTTTTACTATTGGCTCTATGAAAATTATGTTTTTATGGGTACAATGAAAAAAATTATGAATGCATATTTAACGGTTGAGTCGCAGGTTAATCTCAAAGGGTTCGAGATGAAAAGTAGCATTAAAAGTAGGAATATAAGAGATGAAATATTTGTAAAGGTGATCCGGAGTTAGGGGCTTATATGATCCAGGGGTGTAAGAGAGCCCCTCGAATGAACGGAGGGTATAGAGAGATAGAAGAATATTATGTGTCAATGTAAGTGAAGAGGTGTGATTGTGAGGTAGAGTTTTCAATGAGAAGTAGTTTGTAATGATGTGAGTTAATCTAAATGAGCTGTTTTTCAATCTGACAACTGAATGAATGATGAAGATTATAGACTCAATGATTCTTGACCCGTTGGAGTTATATGTCTAGTTGTCCCTGAGTTTATGTCAATGAACGAAAACCAACATTTTAAATTATCGACATTTCGGTCATACATTCGGCCTTTATAAGGGCTGTAGGATTATAAATTAAGACACATAGGAACAAGAAACCATGGAATGTACGATTTACTTAATTTATAATCGTACAACTCTCACGAAGGCCGAATAATTTGACCGAGAGAGATGGCTCAGGGCATCAACTGATGCCACTGCAGTCTAACCGGGAGGTCCTAGTTTTGAGTCCCGACAGTGGCAGGATTTTCGACACTATGTTGTCAGCTAGGTCGAATTCAGTCGCTGTCTGGACGAGACTTCTACCGGCCGGCTGTTCTGATCGGTAGTTTTCCGTGGTTTCTCCGATCAACGCCAGGTGAATGCCGGAGCAGCCCCTACCAAACAAGCCACGGACCGCGCGCGATCTTTCCTACCTCTTCCTTGTCCTATACTCTCCCATTACACACACACATACACACACACTTACACTAACACGTACTACACTTCAAACTCATGCCAGGAGACCGATCGGGAGCTAAGAGGTTCTCACGGCTGGGGCGGTGTCTCGCTGGTGGAAGATACTTGGTTGAGAAAAATCCTGCTAGTACTCTATGACGCCCATCACATATATACACTAACATGCACTACACTACAAGCACATGCCGGGAGACCGGTCGGGAGCTTGGAGCTTGTCCCGGATGGGGCGGAGCTCCGCTAGTAGGAGATACCTGGTTAGGGGAAAATCCCGCAAGCCGACGGTAGGGCACCATACAGCGAGGGAAAGGTCACCGCCACCCCCTGAGCAAACACAAGTACTAAACTTACGGGACTAATGACTCTTCCGTTGTCATGTCCGGAATTATTAAAACATTCAATCAAACTGAATAAATGGCCGAGACACCGCCCCAGCCGTGAGAAGCTCTTAGCTCCCGACCGGTCTCCTAGCATGAGTTTGAAGTGTAGTACGTGTTAGTGTAAGTGTGTGTGTATGTGTGTGTGTGTGTAATGGGAAAGTATAGGACAAGGAAGAGGTAGGAAAGATCGCGCGTGGTCCGTGGCTTGTTTGGTAGGGTACTGCTCCGGCATTCACCTGGCGTTGATCGGAGAAACCACGGAAAACTACCGATCAGAGCAGCCGGCGCTAGAATCCTCCTCCAGACAACGGCTGAATCGACCTAGCTGACGACATAGTGTCGAAAATCCAGGTAATGGAAAGTGTTGGTTTTATTTCATTGACCTAAACTAAAGTATCCCTCGTTAGATGATGGAAATAATGATTACTCTCACCTCCGTTGGGTTGTTTATTCCTGTCATCCCACACTCGGGCAGGAAGTCCCTTGGGAAGTAGGGGATTGCTGGGTAGTATTTCTGGGCTGGATCTGCGTAGCTGCCGCCTATCCCGGGAACATTTGCTGACACTCCTCCCATATGGCGCAGAACCACATCCACGTAAATTCTGTTGACAATCGTAAAACACTTAACAGATTAATTTCATAACACTGGCAGACATTTTAGGTAATTAAGTAATTCGTTTATTATCTTATCAAACATTGAAGATTTAAAATTGAAAATTAAATGAACTTAATAAAGAGTTAAATACACAATTCTCGAAACAAAAAATAAAACTACTTGCAGATTCATTAATATCCTAAACAAATATTGGCTAGTTAGACGGGTGCGTAACTTTTTGGAAATCACTAAATTTCTGTACGTCACTTCCACTTTGTAAAACCAAATTTGAACGACCAGATTCAGAACTGTGCGTTGCAACGTTAAGCCATGTACTGTGTATGAGTAATCACAATAATGTTGCGAAACGCTCATTATCAAGCAGAAAGACTGACACCCATGATGCTGGATAGCTTAGTCGAATTCAGTCGCTGTCTAGAGAATCATAGAGACCGCGGACTGCGCGTGATCTTTTCTGCCTCTTTCTTGTGCTATCCTCACCCATTACTTACACACACACACTTACTCTTACATGCACTACACTATCCCACATGCCAGGATATTGGTCGAGGGCTTTGAGATCTTCCCGGCTTTGGCGGTGTTTCGCAGGTGGGAGATACCTGTATGGGGAAAACCCGGTAAGCCGGCCTGTAGGTCGGCGCCGGATCTCGCCATTTATCGCAATAAAGCATGCACTACACTTGCGGGACGTATGGCCAGTAATGAAACCGTTGACGCGCCCGAAAATTATAATTAATCAATCAATCAATCTATCAATGAACCTGAGTAGTTGACGTGTGCGGATGCAATAAACACTCTGTCACTCATTTCTTGTAGTTAATATTGTTCACAGCGCCGGCGTTGGATGTTCAGACCGAGTGTGTAGTTTACACTAGGAATGCGACATCGATGTTTTAAACATCGATGTATTAATATCGATGTATTAACACCGATGAATTAACACTGATGTTTTTTATCATCGATGTTTTGTGATCGATGTTTTTTCTTTCCCGATGATTTGTCTCTGAATGAAAAAATCCCTGGGTCACAATGATGTGAAAGGTAAATATGAAATATCACTATCAATTCATGTGTCGGAAGCAAACGAACGCTGGTTGTATTGCACTACCTTCATTGACCAAACTCTCTCAATGGCCTTCAATGCATTTGTATTTCGTCTTTCGTTATATTGATTTCGCATATTGAGACGTGGTCGACAAATAAGCTGTGGGCTGTAGGGTCCACCCTTTCTTCTCGTACCGTTATTCGGTGAATTGATAATCACGAAAACAGTCAAATTAAATGTTATTAATGCGAATGTAATGTTAGAGGTTACTAAACCAGCTTGAACACGTCGACATTGAAAAATATCGATGGTTTTTAGTCGATGTGTTATTAATAACAATGTTTTAATTTTCAACATCGATGTTTGCTATCATCGATGTTTTGAGAGGGATGTCCCATCTCTAGTTTAAAAGGGTGGTGGTCCCCACTTTCTTCTCTCTCCCCCCTCCATCTCCATCAAAATTGTAGTATATGAAGAGAAAAATGCAAAACACAATTCTTTCAAATTGTCACGTTCTTCATTAAATGGTTATCACATTTCTTTGGCATCACACTTATTTTGTGTAATTTCAACTGAGTTCACTTGGGCAATGATCCAAAATCCAAAGCGCTGCGCTTTGGATTTTTTGTATAAGGTCATTTAACAATGTTTGAGAATCGAGTTTGTCTGTCGCAATACTGTTGAGCCGATCTTTAAAAATAGTTTATTACACATACGTTTTGAGTCGACGCATTGCCAATAAATTTAATTCATTTCTGGAATTTGACATTTATGGAATATTTTTCTCACCTTCTCTCGGAAAGTTTCGTGTGGGTATAGCTACCCATCATATCCACATTCTCCGCCGGGCCTGATTGTTTGTTGAGGTAGAAACTCACCTTACTCCGACGTTGTTGCACCGCCGTACCATGTCGGCGAATTCTGCTTCATTTCCAGATCGGCTGATGATCTTGTAGGACACCGGAGAGTAGCGCTCCCACCAAGTATTACGCACCACGTACTCTGTGATGGGTGACACCTGGAAACGGAGTCATGGTAACTTTCTTTAGTTGATAATTTGTTGGAGGCGTTAACCGATGGGTAGTGACACCTTAGAGAAATCCTTGATATAGTTTTAGACTTAGTTTGGTGTTGTAACGAAATCAACACAATCACAAAACAGGAAAATCACCATGTCATTTAATGTAAATTATTCTCATTCCTATGATCATGTTTCAAGTGACATTGAATTCCATGGGACTGGATCGTACGCAATTTTGTGAAAACGTTTTAGGGTTATTTGATATTTAGTATAGTTATAGGACTATTTGATATTACTTTAAAATTTCGTTTTTAATATTCAGCTACCTCGGATATTATGTTGGTAATCTTTGGATAATACATTATAATAAGCTTCCTAACCGGCTCTCTAACCGGTTTTACTCATATAGTATAAAAACTAAATTTTAATGAAATCTTAAAGTTAATGCATTGAATGCTCTTTATGGTCGTTTGTTCATGTCGACATATGTTCATTACTTTGTTTGGTTGTGTGCGCTGCAATCGGTCTTTTGAAAGTAATCCATTTTAATAGTTTACAATGAGAATGTAAGTACGAGTGTTTGTTTATATTTGCCAATTTTGCAGTTTTTATCTCAAAGATTGTGTGTTTTTAAATGCGAAATCGGTGAGTGAATATAAAAGCCATATGAAGGAATCGTTTGAAGTGTGCCCTTTCACAAAAAATAGTTTGCGGGTTTATAATAATAGATGATACATTACTTTTTTAAATTAAAGTGAATAACAATGTTTTCTGTAATAATCCACTACAATATACGCACTTGTCATAAATGTCCAGAATTAAGTAAATATAAAACATTTCCATTACATTTTCAGAAATATGTTTAACTCCGAAGTCACAGTTAATAGTGATACTATTGCTTCAGAAATTGTAAACCTATGTCACTTCATTAAGGTTGAAGAATAAGTATTGAACGACATGCAATAATACTTTGGGAGTTTGCATATAGTGGATATGTTGCTATTTTCTATTGTAATTTTTATACTGTTTTTCCTTTGGTAAAATGTAATTGCTAGAGATCAGTTAGTTTATTTTATGATGTTAACATTATTTGCATCACACCTCGTGATGCAATATATGTATATTATATATGAAATACTGAAATGTACATATGTACTCTAAAGCACCCCGTATGCATACAAGCAAACATGTCATATATGTATGTTATATAAGCGAAAAGGCGCACGCCCTATATTGTCATCTTACTTGCACTCCGGCATATCCTTGAGGACCCAGAAATCTCTCACATTCTGAGGCGATGTCAGCGAATTTCCATTCAAACAAATGGACAATTGTATTTCGTCCTTCAACCCAGTTGGGATCCTTTTGTCCACATACTAACCCTACTGTTGCGCTTACAAGCGCGAAAATGTGTATCAGTCGCATGCTTCTGGCGGGGACAGACGGACACACGAACGGACCCAAACTGCCAATTTGGATACTGCGGCAGGAATGGCAATTCTTTTATAGTAATTGATTTTATTTATTTCTTGCACTTTGGAACAGGCACTTGATAGCTGTGCATGCAAATATAACAGTGCGTCAGGCGCGTGATAATGCAAACTAAAATGTTATCTAACTCGTGAAGAGTGGGTGATCGTGAAGGTACGCAAGGAGGAATGTTTTCGTTCCGATAAGATGCACTAAAATACTTCGGATTCGTATGTTGTGATGATTTTAATCACAAAAAAGATGTCCGATTTTTCCAGAACATTATTTTACTATTATTATTATTATTATTATTATTATTATTATTATTATTATTATTATTATTATTATTATGGTCTGTATTGTGTTGTTTAATGTTCTAAGAATATGCTAAAAGTAACTTCTCATTTCAACGTTGCTAATAGTGCTAACGGAGCTAATAACATAGTAACATTATATCCACGCGTCATCTTATGAAGTATCTTATGAAGTTGATTTTGATCACAACAAAGTAGACGTCCAAATTCTTCTAGAACATTCTTTTCTTATTATGGTCTGTATAGTGATGTGGAAAACTGGAATGAAAGTGATTTCGTGTGGCTGGTCGAAGGAAACGTGAGGTCTTATTTTACAATAAAACCTTGTTTATTGTCACAAACATTAGTAGTGTCATGACGTTTACCTTTAGTTATTGTCATAACTATGATAAGATAATTTAAAAAATTGTAAGAGAAACAAAATCAGAATCAAAAAAAGGTTTCATTGCAAAATAAGACTAATCCTTCCTGTGGCCCTACGTTTATGTCTGATTCATGTTTCTAAATTGTGAAATTTTAGCAGGTTAAACTTCAGACTTCGGATCCTCATCTCCTTCGAAATCGCGTTCATTGTAGTTCTGGAACATAGATGTGTCAGATAGCAAGATGACTGTTCGTTACAAACAGGGGAGCTCTACTCCAAAATTGTAAAGGGGCCTGTTTCTTAAGAGAAAAAAAACATTCAATGTTCATAAAAGGAAATAAAAATTGCTAAATACACATTAACCAACTAAATACAAATAATTATCTTCATCTAAATCTTGCTCTTCGAAACAGGCACCAGAGAGTTCTACATTCAAATACACTGTACTTGAAGCACGTGATAAAGCAAATAAGAATGTTATCACAGTCGTGAACAGTAAATGATAGTTCGGATAACCGGATAGCCGAGAATTCAGTAAGTGATAGTAATTGTATCCAAGGCGGAATCTTTTTCTCAGATACGATGCATTTTAAAATATTGTTTGAGTATGAAAATATAATATTTTCTAGACTGTTTCTGCGAGATCAACTTCGCAAATTTCAAGCTTCACGTCAGTTTGAATGTTGTTTGAATATTGCCTTGAATGTTCTCATGTCAAATGTTCACTTGAAGAGATCCCTCGAAAAGAAATTATGGTTATAGATTTGTTTCTGCTTCAAAAACTATTGGATGGACATATTCTCCTTATTAGTGAGTGGTTTTAATATTTGTTTGCTATTACAGGGGAACAAAGCTTCACCACGAGCAATTTCCATAAACTTCTAGGATTAAATAAACGATATACCCCTTTCTAATAAGGTATATCAACAAAAGAGCGTTTAGGAAGAGAAATCAATAGCGAATTTAAGTCAGGAAGTTCAAACTCAAAATACTTCAAAATGAAAAATCTCTCCCTCTTGCTTGTTTAATTATTTTGTGTTTGCGAGGGTGCCAACAGCTAGGATTATTAGTCTTGTAAGTGTAGAGTGAGTTTTAATCACGAGAGATGGCGGTGTTCTTTCTTCATTAGATTGTGTTATCCAGCGCCGCCTTACACGCGGGCTTTCAGGGTTTCTCCATCCACATATCTCCCACCAGTGACACCCCGCTTCCCACCGAAACAGCTTCTGGCTCGTCTCCCAACATGTGTGATAGTGTACTGCATGTGAGTGTAAGTAAGGGGTGAGGATAAAACAAGTAAAAGGAAAGATCTCGCACGGTCAGTGGCCCGTTTGTTGGAGTACTCCTCTCGCTTTCGTCTATATTGATCGGAGAAACCACGAAAAACTACCGATCAGAGCAGTCGGCCGCTAGAACTCTCATTCAGACAGCGGCTAAATTCGACATACACTATGTGAGCAAAAGTATCCGGACACGTCCAAAATGGCGTTATGGTGTGGTCGTATTGCTCATGGTGCGGGTTTGCACTCCTGGTTTTGTGTGGCACTATCACAGCACATGCTTACGTTGATGTTTTAAACACCTTCTTGCTTCGCACTGTTGAAGAGCAATTCGGAGTTGGTGACTGCATCTTTCAACACGATCGAGCACCTATTCATACTGCACGGCCTGTGGCGGAGTGGTTACACGACAAGAACATTCCTGTAATGGACTGGCCTGCACAGAGTTCTGACTTGAATTCTATTGAAGACCTTTGGGATGTTTTGCAACGCTGACTTCGTGTCAGGCTTCACCGACCTACATCGATATCTCTTCTCTGTGCTGCACTCCGTGAAGAGTGGGCGGGCTGCCATTCTCCAAGAAACATTCGAGCACCCAATTCAAAGTATGCCTGCGAGAGTGGAAGTCGTCATCAAAGCTAAGGGCGGGCCAAGACCCTATTGAATTCCAGTATTACCGATGGAGGGCGACACGAACTAGTTGGTCATTTTCATCCCCGTGTCCGGATATTTTTGATCACATAGTGCAGCTATCTGTATTTTTTTGTAACGTATCTCTCAATTAATCGTCAAAAACAGGTTGTTTTGTCTACAATTAGAACAAATTATTCACCATTTGGTCATAAATCTCTATTTGAAAACATTCTACAACCCATCTGTACGATCTGCAGTGCTGAGTTATCAAGAAAACACGTTCTTTTTAACTGCTCCATCAACATTAAAAAAAGAGACAAGAGTATCTATGAAATGAAAACTTCAATATCTTTTTATCATCACCTATTTATCAAGAAAAAGTATTTAATTTTTTATATATTGATATTTTCACAGATTTGTTACTACGTTTAATTAATGTATTAATCGCTCATGACCTTCGTAGTTTATACGACTTACTATATACATAATTAAAACTACTGGTGATAAATAATAGCACAGGCTTTCTCATATTAGTGCTCTATTTCCTTTGGTCTCGGCTAGCTACTTGCCACTTGCCATCTACCGCCTCCCAAAGTACATTGTTTTTGAAATTTTCCTTATTTTTCGGTTTCCTGATACTTCAACGGAAATATTATTTTAAGAATATTAAAAAAACAGTTACACCTTGAGTAAAATGGCAATTTTCTTTGAAAAAGTTTGAGCTGATTTTAAACAAATTTGCGTTTAACCTCTACTGTATATTCGAATTTTGGAGCTCTTTTTTACCGAATTTTTTTGTTTTCGAAACAATTCATTGGAAGCACATAATTTCACAAATACGAGTGTTACAAATGCGAGTGTTTGCAAATCGCTAGATATGTGTAAATTAACGGTGTGAGAGATCTTTCAAATAAATTACATTTGTTCAACTTTTTAATTACCAAAAAATATTCCGAAATGAACATTACGTCGTATTAAAGAGTGCAATTTGAACTATATTTTCAAAAAGTGGGAAGAAAAGATTGGAGCCATTGCTAACATAATGACTTTTGAGAATTTCTGAAAATGCTGAATTTTGAGCTAGTTTTCACAGAAAACATTTGAGTTTTCGACAACGTTAGTTGATATTATTTAAAGCACGTGTGCTCATAAATATAATAATGAGAAGAAATTGCCGTTAATATAAATATTAACGTCATGACACAAGTAAAAAATTACATTTTTGTAATTTTTCAAAAAGTAAAACAATAGAGTCATATGAGGTTTATGTCATCTCAGAAAGCTAGCACATTTAGCACTAACCCTATCAAAGGGTTAAAGAAACAAATTAGAGCCGTTTTTTAGTCTTGTTTTTCTTCAAATCTTGTTTTTGTAATTTTCCAAAATTACAGATATTGCTCGGAATATTGCGCGTATATTTACATGTACATGACCTTAATAAAAGAAATCACTATTAAGAACAAATTTTATTTGATGGAAAAATTTCTATCTTCAATTTCCTAGTTGTAAGAAGACGCCCGAAAAATTTTGAAATTTTCAAAAATTCAGTGTTAACCGTCAAAATCGAATCTTTTTAACTGTATTTTACACTATTCTTACAAAATTTGAAGAAAAAATTGACGTCGTTTTTGAAAAACTTTTGAAGATGTCCATGAGGCTTTATGTAAAGAACCCCCAAATTTTAAAGAATATTTTTCAAAATCTCAAAGATTGGACTCAAGTAAGATCGACACGAGTTTCTTAGATTTAAAAAAATCTACGTATGGTTTAGGAACTACTAGTGTTCACAGACAGACAGACGTTTTGGAAAAAAAGTTCTTTTTCGGTATCAGGGGGCCCCAAAAAGTGTATTTCTGTTAAAATCTCGAAATCGATTTTCCGCAGCATTAAATTACTCTCCCCGTACTATGTATAATAGTCAGTAAATACGTACGTATACGGGATAGTAAAAATAGATATTTGAAATCATCCAAATCGATGTTATGGCGGAAAGTAAACAGAGAATTCACAACTCGGAATGGATATATTTCGCATGTGTATTTTCTCCATTATCTTTACATTGTTCTTTTATTGTGAATTTGGAGCAATACATGACATTCTATGTATTATGTATACTAGAAAGTAAAATTCATTATGAAACTGTCTCTGATTCGATATGAGCAAATATTATCATAGTTCATTGACTCCATATGAATAATCTGATACAGAAGCATCTTCAATCAGATGTCTTATTCTGATAACTGCACTTGTGTCATGATGCTTCTTACAGATGTGGGTATGATAAATCGTGTTTGATAAACGTTCTTCTTTGACTCAATACTATATGCCATTTCTTCTAAAATACGTCTCATCCGCTTCTGAAAAGAAAATCTTAACTCACAAAATGCCTTCCTTCTAAACTTACCAATCTGTAAATTTAAACCTCCCTAGAGTCTAAGTTAAATATTTGACCTTATTGTATTCTTGAAGCTACTCTAGTATTTCGCATCCCACTGTGAACTTATAATACGCTTTATTTATGATTCCGCTGAATACACGTTTAGTTATATGTATGAGATAATAAAACTGTAAACACATTTAAGTTACAGTGTTCTAGAAGTTTAACAAAGGCATATTCATGTCGAAATAGTCATAAGATCTAGTTACTACACTTTTTGTAATGTACCTTTTAACGTTAATGTTCAAATATATATTAAGTGAGTCGTTTTATTGTTTATTTTTGTTTCAGTCTTTTTATTATTCATAATTATTTTGCTCTTCTGGGGAGGGTGAGAATGGCAAAGAACGACCTCAGAAATGAAGGTTAGGAAGGGCGAGGAATATCCAAGAAGTGGTTTCTGTTGTAAGGATCTGAGAGTGTGGGCAAGTTCTTGCGTAAAGTTTGCGGAACAAATTTTAAAACTCTGGTAACTGTCGGAGTGGCCCGTTTTTTTAACGCTTCTTATTCCGTTGATTCTCGTAGGCAGATCTTATTCGGTTCAAAACTCTTAGCTAAGACGCTTACATTTACAGTAATTTTTTTGCTCTTGAATAGGCCGCGTGCATGTCCTGCATGCCCTGCATTTACCGAGGGTCAGTAACATTATCTCGGTGGCAAGTAATTTATCATGGGATGAACATTTAGCTAGATCCGATTTTAAACCCCCAGGGTTGTTATCCCTGGGGGTATGCAAGATTGACACTACTACCTTAGCGATCTCGGCCATTTGATCGGCTTCTTCTTGTTGCTATTATTATTATTATTATTATTATTATTATTATTATTATTATTATTATTATTATTATTATCATTATCATAATTATTTTAATCGCCATTATTTTATGTCTACGGTACCTCTTGGGCCTTTCCCTCCTTACAGGTTTGTGCAGCCCGCCTCTCGGTGCTCCGCGTGCCATCTGTTGGTGGAAGGAATAGAATGCCCTTGAACTAACGCGCTCTGTCCGTCAGTTGAAGAAATCAAACTTCACCCGCGTGGTTTGAATTCCCATAAAGGTACAAAAATAATCACAAACATATCTAGATGTCTATGACTTAAAAATTAGTACATGAGCATGCATCTATGACAGAAAAATATTTTAAAAAAATTAACCAATGAAATAAAAGATTTATTTCTGATACAAACACTTAAATTCTTTGAACATGAACGAATGAATTGTCACATATTCGTTCAAAGTGCTGGGAATGAGTTGATTTGAGAATTAGCTTCGTAGGCATATTTTAGACACGTCCTATGTAGCTGAACAGGACGATATTATTGGATGACAATTTTAGACGTTGCTCGGTAGTCTGCGTGGTTTCTTATGATCAATTCGAGGTGGAAGCAGGGGCAGTACTCAAAACAATGGGTCACGGACCGTGCGGTATTCTTTCCTTTTCCGTTCCCATTGTCATCTGAGACTTTTCTCCTTTATTTTTATTATTATTATTATTATTATTATTATTATTATTATTTATTATCATTACTGTTACATTGTTATTTTATTATTGTATTATATTTTTATTATTATTATTTTGTCCATGTCCTCTATACAGTGAAGTGAAGTGAAGTGTACTGTAGTCAAGGGAACGGGAGTGCAGTGTAGTGTTAAACTAGAAATCAAGTTACAGGTAACCAGAAATTAATTAGAATTAGAATATCAACCTCTAATTATAATAGAAATTCTAATTGTAAATGTTTGTAATAGTTTTGTAAGTGTTCTTTTTCTAATTGTAATCACGTAAAACTAATTGTAAACCGAGCATTAGCTCGAAGGAAGCTTTAATAAATCTTTAAAGGCTCAAATCGGGCTCTACTGAAAGAAAATAGGCAAAAAAATCTGCAAAAAATGGGGAAGTAGAAGAAAAAAGATGAAACAATAAAAACGAAAAAAGGCGAAGACTGTGACGACGTCGAAACAGAGCTTGAGGAAGGCGATGACGAAAGAAGACCAAGGAGATGAAGGGGAAGCAAACGGCATATAAGGCGAAGACAATACTACGGAAAAGAAGATGATTAGGAAGAGAAAGTTACAGGCGCAGAGAGAGGTGAAGCTTACGACGCCAAAAACATGAAGTGGTATAAAAATAAGTATATTATTTATTTATTTAAGATGGAGAAGAAGGAGGATAGGGAGTAGGTGGAGGAGTATTGAAAATTTCCAGAGGGGCCTCATACTTGTACATAAAACATTTTATTTCAGTAATTGTAATCAATTCCTGACTTTGCACGCTTGTTCAGCCTAATACACATTTGGGGATGAGGCTTTTGAAACCAACTGACCCAAACCTGTAAAAGGTTCGACATAAAAGCAATTTTATATTATTCATTGTAGCATCAAAATTATTTCAATCTCCTTGTGTTATAATTTATTTATTAGTCATGAAACTGTTATTTGCAAATACAAAAGGGGGCGCAGTGGGGAGCAGAAGGACCCTGAAATGAAAGTGGCCCCTTCTTGTTTTTGAATGATTGTTAGTAATTCTGGGGGCGTCAACCGCGAAGGTTGAGCGTGCGTGTTTTGCTCGGGAGGTGGCAGTGGTCGACTAGGGGATATTTGCCTCCACCAGGTATCTCCCACGAGTAAGGGACCTATCAAGCAGGGACAAGCTCTGAGCTCCCGACCGATCTCCTTGCATGTGTGGTAATGCAGTACTTGTAAATGTGTGTGTGTGTGTGTGTGTGTATGTAAGAAATGAGGATTGGGCAAGGAATGGGAAGGAAAGATCGCGCGCGATTCGTGGTTATTGTATTGCTCCGGCATTTGATTAGTGTTGATCGGAGAAACCACTGAAAACTACCGATCAGAGCAGCCGGCCGCTAGAATTCTCCTCCAGATAGCGTCTGAACGCGACCCAGCTATCCAGCTAAAGCCGAAAATCCTGCCCCCGTAGAGACTAACGTAGGACCTCCCGGTGGGAGGCAATGCAATGACATCAGTTGATGCCCTGAGTCATCTCTTCCGGTGTGTTGTTTTTGGGTGCGGAGGCCCATGAGGAGGAGGCATTTCTTTCCGTCCGTCGCTCGTGTGGGTTGCTTGGCCGCGGGGCGCGCGGAGGCGGCGGAGGGCGCCCCGGGAGCAGCCGTGGCGCGGGTAATGGCGACTCTCTGTCGCGCTGAATATTTCATGCGCCTCCAACGCCACCCGGCGCGACGCGACGTGGCGCCTCGCCCGTCGGCTGCTGATCGCCCTCTCTCAACCACGCGCCCTCCCGCTCTTGCCTTTCTCTGCCCTCCCTCTCTTTCTCCTTCCCCGCTCCTTCTCTGCTCCCTTTCCCTCCAGTCCCTCTTCATCCCGCTCTCTCTGCTTCCTCCTCCCCCTTTGTCGCCCTTCCACCTCTCTTCCTCCTCTCCCCTCCCGGCCCTCTTCCTCTCGTCACATTTTCCTCTTCCGCTCCTCCCTTCTCCTCCCCATTGCCATCCTTGTCTTCTCCCTCTTCCTCTCGTTATTATCTCATCCCGTGTTTTTTTCCTTGTCATTCTCTCTCTCTCTCTGTTCTGTCCTCGTCTCCTCCTCGTTCTCATCTACAACTACGTTCCCCTCTTGGCCCTCTTCGTCTTGTCACTCTCTCCTTCCATTTCTCTCCCTTTCCCCTAATTCTTCTTTTCTCCTTCCCCCTCTCCCTTTCTCACAACCTACTCTCCCTCTTCATCCTCTCTCTCTCCTCCCAAAATTTGATCTAAAAAATTGTTGACTTTAGGGAAAAGCGCTGTGGTTTGGAAATGAATTGAAAAAAATGAGTAATAAATTCACTAATGACACAAGCATTCATTCAGAGGACATTCTCGACTCGTTGTTTTGACAAAGCAGAATGCATACCTGAGATATTGATCTTTCTTGCCTGCCTTTTACCCTTATTTTCGGGAAAATGTTTCTGTAATTGCCCAAGGATGTTTTATTTAATTTTCATGAGTCTTATACGTAGGCCTATATTCGACACGTCTTTAAATCAAGGTTACAAGTATGTACGTATTTCTGTCGTTGTTATGAGGTACATTGATTCATATTAATCTTACCTGGACTGCAAAACAAAGAATATCTGGAATTCAGAGATTCTAGACCAAATATATTGTATTGTGACTCTAAAATATCTGTACATCTCAAAATTAGCTTTCTGTTTAAAAGATGAAGATAAGAGAAGGGAAAATCACGTTCTGGCATGTTTCACTATAGGCTTCTAGGACACATACTTCGACGACATGAGGCACAATACAGGAGGCTGACATCAGAAAAGACGAGGAAAATCAGAAAAGACGACGTGCGACCGGGAGAGATGGCTCAGGGCATCAACTGATGTCACTGCAGTCCCTCTGACCGGGCTGTCCTAGTTTGGAGTGTTGACGGTGACACTAGTTTGCCAGCTCGGTCGAATTCGGTCGCTGACTGCAGTAGAATACTAGAGGACGGCTACTCTGATCGGTAGTTTTCCGTGGTTTCTCCGACAAATACTGGGCGAATGCTGGAGCAGTATCCTCACAAACGGGCCACGGACCGCGCGCGATCTTTCCTACCTCTTCCTTTGTGCTATCCTCACCCCTTACTTATACAGTCTTACACTTACATGCAATACACTATCACACATGTCGGGAGACCGGTCTGGAGCTTA